TTTACTTAAGATCAAATTGCTCTTGTAAAAAAAGAAGCGTATTGCTCTTGTGGAAAAAACTGTAAAGGTTGTGTCATTATAAGTCAAGGATCATCTATAAAGTGCCATGCATGGATTTGGGGCGATTCATAGGTAAAAGAACTGATATTTAAAAATTGTAAGTATGCAGTGAGAGCTGAAGGGAATGAATAATTCAGGTATTCATATGGAAGAAAAAACCTTTGAAATGGGTTTTAAAGAATAGCACTCTTTTCTCAATTCATAGTTCTAAAGAATAGCATTCAGTTGGATGACAGAGATGAAAAGCAGTGAATGAGCCACAGTCCCTCTTCTAAAACTGCTAGCTGTCTTGTGAGGAATTAAAGAGTTTGAAGGAAGTCTCTAAAGAGTTGTTGGGTAGAGGATGTTAGAAAAGGGAAGTTGATGGCTTGTTTGGGAGACACTATTTTAGTGTGCTTGAATATATGAATTATAAGGGCTAGAGGAACCAGTAGGGGGTTGGTAGGACACAAACCTGTAGGAAGATGCTTAGTCCAAATTTGAAGAGATTTGTTCCAAAATAGGAAGTTTCAACAGGAATCTACTCAGGCTAGACGAGTATGTGTACAGGAACACTATTACTGAATCTGTGATTAACAATACTCCTCAGGCCTTGTTACATTTAGGTTGGAAGGGAAAACAGTTTTGCAGTTTTCCAAGCAAGGAAAACCATGAGCCTTGAACTGAGACATGGACAAATAGAGAGATGGGGAAAGGTTCAATACCTAGATCAGAGGGAAAAACTGATACATTGGGAAGAAACTTCATGTTCCAAAAAGCTTTTAGAGTCCCTTTGAGTCAACTACTCTACCCATATTGCACAAGGAAGAATTCTGTCAGAGAAGTCAAGTAAGTTGCCTAAGCTTACACAGCTGAGAGTTTTACTTAGTCTGAGGTAGCAGGAGTAACTTTGGTACTGTCATATGTACTCGTTTGCTAAGGCTGCTACAATAAAGTATAGTAACATTAAAATCATACATTTATTGTCTCATAGTTTAAAAGAATAGTGTCCAAAATGAGGGTATCGGCATGGCCGAGTTCCTCCAAAGCCCCAATATTCTCTGAACCTTTCTGTGTCTCTCTCTACATTTCTGGTGGTTTGCCTGTAATCTCTGGAGTCCCTTGGCTTGTGTCCAATCTTTGGGGGCACTCGTAATTCTTCCTCTCTCTCCAGTCATTTTAGATAAGGAGACCACCCTGATCTACCTTCATTTTAACTAATTACATCTTCGGTGAACCAACTCCAAATAATGTGTCCCTTCCAAATATAAAATTTATTTAATCCATGTCACTTTCACCCATGATACCACATCTACTTGTCCTGACACAAAATGACACTCTTCATGGAATACATTGGCTGCCCATTGACTAAACAGAGATAAAGATCTTTTAGGGCCTGTGTATAATAGCCTGTTTACTCAAAATCTGGCTGGTCTTGACGCAAAATTAAAGCTGCAATTTCAGCTTATTCCCATTTCTAACTTGGAATGTTTGGAACAAGGAAGTGCTGTCAAGGGATTTCAACTTTCTGCTTATTACATATCTATTCAGCATGTCCCATCTTGTCATCCTAATGGCATCTTCCATAAATGCCCAAGCAAGCATCAGTTCACCTTTCTGTATAGTGGGAAGAAGGAGGCCTGAGTGAATGGCGAACCTATATCATCATATCTTAGTCAGCAATTACATCTTTTCAGGGGAAAGGTCCACTACAAATTACAGAATGTTGCCATTTCTGTAAACTTCTTGACTATTGACTAATGACTAATGAGGAACCTGAGTCCAAAATAGCTGATCTGGCCTCACCCAGGAAGTGCATCCCCCACCCGACTTCCTTCTGACATGTCTGTGGGCACCACAGCTGCTGTAACCTCTAACCTGCCCTTGAGCTTTCATATCCACACAGACTCCAGGGCCGCCCTGTACTGAAGTCAGCTGTTCTAAGCTCTCCTGGGTACCAGGAACATGTTCCCTGAAGGGATATTGAGATAAAGAAGGGGAACAGTGACAACAACACTGGGTTCACATGCGAGTACTTCAGGTTTTGTTTCCTGTAAAGATTGTCAGAATGTTACACAGTCATTAGAAGGCTCATTGCGTTTATTTCAAGGCTCCCAGAAAAGTGAAACTGAGACCACCCTAAAGTTACCTTCCTTTAGAATTTGGGGTCAATCAAACAGAATCTAAACTGAAATTTAATTTTGCCCTAGCAGTGAGGATTTGCTAAGCAAATTAATGCTGGAGTGTAAACAAGGTTTTCTGAGCTTGCTTAAGAGCCTTTAAAGGACAACATGCTTTCAGGGCTTGGAAGCAATGCTTTTACATGCTAATTACAAATCCCACAGTATTTGTGAAAGTGGGTCTCTCTGGGATTTCTATTTGCCAACAAGTTGTTTATTTCCAGTTTAAAGGAGGTGAGGGTGGGGTCTATGAATTATTAAGTAGCAGCTCTGTGTTCTGCCTGTGCTCTGTGAGAGAGTGTTTATCTTCACAATCATCCTTGGAACTAAGCTTGCCCTGGTTTGCACCTGTGGAATGGAGAGTTGGCCCAAGCTGCAGAGCAGGTAAACGATGGGAGCGCAGCTGCAAATCCTAACCAGCCCACCTGTGTGCTCTCCTCCAGCACAGTGTCGACCTTTGACCATATGAAATTTACTTTTTGTTTATCGTGTATTTCAAATTCAGTCTTCCTAATACATCAGGATGGCATGTCCCTAGTTAGCTCAAATTAGCTCATTTTTGTAAGTCCTGTTTTCATTGCACTAATAAGAAAAAAGGAGGCATTCAGCCAAGAAGCAAACTATTGAAAAAGAAAAGAGTTGGGGCAGGTCTGGGATATAAATTGTTGTCTGTGTCAACCCTTGAAACTGACCAAGGACTCTGAAAGAAGACAAGATGGAAAATTACTCCTTCTTTGTTATATATTTCTTTTCTTTGGAAAGTTGTATTTTTATCATTTAGCTGCAAGACTATCTTCCAGCCTTAGCTAGCATAGACAAGGTGTGTGCTTGGGAGGTATGATAAACCTTGATCCTGGGTAGGTAAGTTTAACCCTTGAATCACATTTTCTTCTAATAGTGCTATCACTGTCTGCCAAGATCAGAGAAGTGACAAAAGGTTTGCAGATAATTCATGTTTTCAGAAGCATGAATTAACATCCAATAATATAAATCTTCCCCTTACCTAAAAGAGAATGCTTATAAGTCACAATATAACCTTTCCATTTAAACTTATCTTTAAAGCACACATAAAATACATTTTTGTGGAATTAAAGTAGTTGGGCTTTGTATCCAGAAATGAAAACAAGCTGTTGATTTCCAGACTATCATTAGAGAGAAGACTTGAAACATCACAGACAAGTTCAAACTCTATAATGTTCATAGAATATATACTGAAATTTACATATGACTGACATAACATTAGCTCATCGGTTGCCCAGCACCACATAATGCATGAAACAAAACAAGTTTCAAACAATTAAAAGGCACAACATAAAAATCAAACCTCTAAAATGTTCATTAACGTTGACTTTTTACTGCAAAACTAAAAAAAAGCACTTGCAGAAATGTATCGGTATGCCTCTTATTAACCACAGGTCTGGCTGTTTGGATACAAATAATCTCAACTGTTTGTACACCCATTTGGTATCCTTTTAACTAAGGAGCCATTCAGTCTCAGCCTCAAGTGCAGAGGAAGTGCAAATAGCTCCTGTACTTCAGAGCTGAGCTTGCTTTGCTGGGAGACAGTTGAGCAAAATCCCAGCACATTCTGATTCATTCTGTGTACTGATTGGTTGTTCTCTCTGGTCGCTGACATCATCCTGTTGCTGGGTGGAAAACTTCTGCAGCACAGCCCTCATACTGACTTCAGATCCTTGTGAAAGGGACATTGTATTCAACAGTGAAATCAGATTATAGCTCAAATGGAATTAGAAAACCTCCTTTTTGTGTGATCACTTCAGTCATTTTATGGCTCTTAAAGTACAGCATCCTCCACACCGCCATCCCATAATCTAGCAAATGTTTTTGTGTTGCACTCTCTCCTCTGAGCTACCCAACCCCCAACACCTTCAAGAATACAAAAGAATAAGAAAAGAACCTTACAATTTTTCTTTAAGTGTGGATGGTAGATGTTTTATACAGCTCCAGGACTAGCTTTCTCATTAGCTTATGTCTGCCTTGAGCAGCAGCACTGAAGTATGCCATCACTTGACACAATGACTTGTAAAGCAGTTTCTGGGACTATCTGTAATAATGACTTTCCAGCTCTCATTTACCCTTCCAGATTCTGTGAGGGTAAACCAACTGGGGAAGTGGTGGCAAAAGCCAAATTATCTATTGTCCTTTAAAGTTTACAAAGTACTTCATATACATCCATGTACATTGTCTAATATGTTCTTCCCAAACCCCATGAATTAAGGAGATAACAGCAGCTGCATGTTATAGAGCCCTATAGGAGGCTCAGGAAGGACGATAGCAAGTTAGGGCTGAGCCTGGGCAAATTAGCAACTTGGTGTCTCAAAATAAGAAACAGAAAAGCTCAGTGTGCACGCCTTGGGCTCAATCCCTAGTACTGAAAATAAAGCCCCCAAATATTAAATTCTTTGTTAGCTACATAGCTCATAAATAACAAGGCAGTGACTCAAACCCAGGCTTTCTGACCCTAGTTTCTGAACTTTCTCCACTTGGACAGAGCATACTTCAGTTCTGGGGGCTGATTTGCAAGGCCTGGTCCAAAATAAGTAGCTAAAGCAGTGCTAGGACCAGCAATTCTTGTCCATATGGGCCTTTTCTTCTGAACCTCTTGGTAGCTCTCAAGGCAACTTCCATCTTCAGGGTTTTTACAGAGACGCTCTTAGATACACATTTTAAAAGACATATTTAGGCTTTCACAAGAGTTTACTTAAGTGGAACTTAAAGAAAAAGAAGCCTAATAATTCAAATGTACATTTGCACACTTACATAAGGCTGCTATAAGGATAAGTTTTCCAGTTGCAGGATTATTTTCAGTTTTAATGGGATGACTGTGGCAGAGCAGAAATAGCAGGTTTAGTAACCAGCTCCGAAACTTCCGTGTCAGAGACATTTCTGCAGTGAATAGCTGGGCTCCTCCTTGTCTCTGTGGAGACACTGGATTTCTCTTGTTTATCTCGGGCTGGAATGATTAACTGTTCTGTGGTTGGCTTTCATCTCGCCTGGCACAGCTTTCTCTTTCATCTCATTCATTGCTCCAAACTCTTCCTCAACCTTTAATACATATTAGAAATATATCAGCTTTTCTACAAAAACAGACCAAAACAATTCCCTCTAGGCAAAAAAAAAAAAAGAAAAAAAAATGTAGATTTACTCCGCAGAGGCTACTGTGTCTAGGAGTTGCTCAGGTAAAAGCAGTGCTCACTCATCCATCCTCACTTAAGTGACACTGAGACTTCAACCAAGCTCTATGAAACTAAACTGTTTGAGGAAGGGAAGGGGACAGTGAGAGGTATTCTCAGAATGAGAGGTTTTTATTTCCTATCTCAATCTTTGCAGCCACAGGTCCAAAGCACAGTACCCTGACATGATTCACAATGTACGTAGCTGATTTCATGTATTTTCATGCATGTTTCTCTCCTCTTCTCAAGAGCAGCTTCTTTTCCCTTTGAGGTCACTATGTGGTCATGCGTCCCCTGACCTTCGTCCTTCTGTTTCCTGGGTGTGATTGAGGTACATGCAGGTTGCTCTCAGTTTCAGCAAAATGAATTCACTAAAACTGGCTTCATGTCACGTGCTCAGATCTTCACAGCAGACGTTTTTGCTGTCTATAGAAACAGAAACTTATTTTATCTTTCTGTGTTAGTTTAGTTTATTTAAAATTTTTTATTGCTACATGTTTCTGGTACACAGTGAAAATTTTCATCTAAGAAATTAGCATGTATACAAATCTCACCTAATCTTTTTTCCTTCCCTTCTCTCCCTTCTCCCTTCATCCCTGGATGCCCTCATATCTTCAGATCTACCTCCTTGCTTCTTGTCACCTGTATTTTATCTTGCTCTTTAAATTGTTTACACTTTGAGGTTCTCTGTGCTTTTTTTTCTCTCTCTTTTTTTTTTTTTTTTTTTTTTTTTTGTCTTTTTTCCTTTTTATCGGTACCAGGGATCGAATTCACGACTGCCTGCTTGCAAGGCAGGCGCTTATGCTGCTGAGCTAAATCCCCAGCCCCGAGGTTCTCTGTGCTTTTTTATGTAACAAATTTTTATTTTAAAACAAAGAATCTTTGTCTTATAAACTCTCCAGAGTGAACCTGAGAAAACCCCACATCTCCTTGTCCTCTTGCTACTAAGTGGACACAGCGGATTTGTGCTCCCTGAAGCCCTTTTTGCCTGAAATGCATTTCTTTAACAATGGCATATGAGCTGGGCATGGTGGCACACAACTGTAATCCCAGCACTTGAGAGGATAAAGCAAGAAGATTGCTGTAAATTTGAGGCCAGTCCGGGCTACATATGAGTTCAAGACCAGCCTGAATTACATAGCAAAACCCTGTCTAACAAACAAAAGCAAAACAAAAAAAAAGCATAGTGTTCACACTCAATAAATATTCAAAATAAATTCCTATGTCACATAGCTAATTGGTGACAGTTAAAACTAAAACTAAATGCCAACCTCTTTTCATTATGAATTAAATATTTTATTGATGAGAAAACACATCAATGTGAGTTCAAAAGCTTGCATAATAGTTACCTAATTCTAAAGTTTCTGGAATGGGAGCCCTCTGGGCATCTGGCATTAGAGTTAACCCCTCCAGTTTTGATCCCTCTTCTACCACATTTCCTCACCTATCTTTTGCCCTTCTATAGGGGTTCATTTTGCTCCAAATATGGCAAAGTCAACCAAATCCACACATTATGCTTTATGCTAAATTAGCTCTAAGTATAGTCCTCATTGTCTTTGAGCATTGAGCAACACTTCATGTGCTGTGTTAAAAGTTCAAGTTGTAGAATAAGGTTTCATTCAGACCCCAGTCCTGCCAACATCAGCATACTGGGCAAGGGGTGGAAATCAGAATAAATGTGTTAATGATTTAACCTTTCTCATCCATTTCATTTTTTATAAATCAATAATATACTTGCCTCTCATTTGTGAGGGCTGAATAGGCTCATGCCTAAATGAAATCCATAACATAGAACTTGGAGGTGAGTTGTAGAAAAATTCCAATAGAAGTAACTAAGTATTTTTGTCATACTAAAACTCAGATATTAGTAAGAAAAAATCAAGGAAGTGAGGAGTTGATGAAAGTAAATTTTAAAAGTATCAGTGAAGGAAATTCCTCAATGTGGAGATTCCTCAAAAACAAAACAAAACAAAACAAAACTGGGAGTAGAGGTTCTGTTCATCCAGTTATTCCCTTTCTGGGTGTTTTCTTAGAATTGAAAACATCATGCCACAGTGGTATATGTGTATTGATGTTTATAGCTGCACAATTTGTAATAGCTTGATCTTGGAAACAACCCAAATGTCAATCAACTGGGAAATGGATAAAAAAGATGAGATATTTTTAAACAATGGAATACTATTCAGCTATAAAGGATAAACTAGAGGCTTTTTATAAGTAAATGAATACAACTAGAGACCATACTCATAACTGAAAGAAATCAGACTCACATGTATAAACACCATGTTGTCTCATTGGTATAAGAAACTGAAAGTAAATAAGATCCAAAAGTCACAATAGAATTAGTGAAAAGGAAAGAAACTGCTCAGGGAAAGGAAATCATCTTGTTTGATCAATTTTGCAGGCCTGTATCTGGTAACCTGAGCATCTGTTTTGAAGATAACAATATGCAATATCACCACCATTGTTAAATTCCTGTTGTCTTGAAATCCTGTATCATTGTGGGTTTTTTTTTTTGTTTGCTTGTTTTTGTCATTTGGCTTTTGTTGTTTGTTTGTTTGCTTTTTGATTTTTCTATGCTAATTCTCTTTAAAATAAAAAGAACAAAAAATAAAATTACCTATCAGTGATACCCATTTTAATCAAACAAAAAAAGTGAAACATGCTAACACAGAATGATAAACTACAAATATCTCACAATGACTAGCATCAAAATAGTATTTTAATTTCAGCAGCTGGTTTTCTGAATTACACTGCAAATTTAATGGTATTGTACATTAATCAGAATTCTACTGGCAAACTAGATTTTGATACACCGTCCATTAAATTGAGTACCAGTGATATATCTAAGGGGTTACATACTTCTTTCCTCTTGACTTCACTGTGTCACTTATATATTCTCTGAGATAAACCAAAGAGACTAAAAATTTCTTTAAAATATCAGGAAGTGCTCCAGGAAGCAAAGCATATGAGATGCTGGAGCCAACTCGGAGCACTGAATGTGAGCCTCAGTTTCTAGCCCACATAGTGCTAAACTGGCTGCAGATCTCCAGGAATACGTTTTATACTTGAACCATCAAAAGATTATGAAATACCTTGTCTTCCCTGCATACTTCTATAAGTCTATAAAAATATGTGGGTTAACTTACTGAACAAATATTGGTTGAATGTCTATCATTTGATGAATAGTAAAACACCAGCACTTTACTAATAAATCTATAAGAAAATTAAAACATAATGTCACAATTACTGTGGTGCAGGCATTCACAGGTGTTGTGAGTATACATAATTAGGCATTTATCTCTGTCTTCAAAATAGGAAGATGTATCTCAGGATGAAATGTCATATGGATTCTAGTGCACCTTGACTAATCAGTTCCTGGAAAGAGTTTCCTCTCACTGCCATGCTAAGGGCTAAAGGAACTCCTGAAAACTATCACCAGTTTTTTAAGTAGAGTTTTACACTAACAAGAAGGAGACATGCTCATCATATGTACATGCAGAATAAAGTTGGAAGAGAAAGCTAGTAAACTGATAACTAAAGCAAGATTCGGAAAGAAATACCAGGCTGGGAGGATGGCCTGAAACCAAGAAAAATTTTAAAAATCAAATACCGAATATAAGAACAGGAGGTAGGAAAGCTGGTCGAAGCAGCCCATGTGAGAGGATACAGCGAGTGATTAACTGGAAGTTCTTCCTGGTTTGACTACGCATAAACTTCTCTAATGCAGCAGAATGTTATCACTAACTAGAATATCCTAAAGGGCAGAGATCACATCTCACATATTTTAATATCTCTTCTTTATCTAGCATAAAGTCTAATGCAGAGAGACTGCTCAAAAAATCTTCCTTAAATGGAGTCAGTACTAAAAATGCTTAAAGCAATAGGCTCCACCAGTGAGGGGGCCACGGTCGTCTGCACCCTGAGAAAAGCCTGTGTCAGTTCCCCGCTTTGTATAGTTTTCTCTGGTACTGCCCTGGCTTTTCCCTCCCACTTTCTTCTGAAGATAAGAATCAAAATCCTTTGCATGATTAGACGTCTGGATCTGATCTCTTGAATGACCTCACCCCCCACTTGATGTCCTCTCCTCCTTGCTCACAAACTCCTGCAGCTTTCGCCATTGTTCCAAAGCCTTTGTGCCCTTTCCACTCTGAACAACTGCTGAGTTCTTGGAATCACACATACAGACAGACACACACACACATGTGCACACACACACACACACACACACACACTCTTTTTCTACTTATTTACCTGTTCCACTGCTTGTCTTTTTAACTTGTTCAGGGAAAATCTCTTGAACCTGCATTTCTGTTTTTCACCTTTTTAGCACTAAGCACAGCCATCATCCAATGTAGGCTGAGGAATTATTCTTGCAAACCCATCTCCCTGCTGGAGTATGATCTCTATGACTTGAACTGTGTTATGTCTTCACCACTGTATTCCAAGCAGCTAGGTCAGTGATCCTCCAGCTTTAATATGCCTGTTCAAGATATAGGAGATCTTTTTAACCTGCAGATTCTGGTTCATACAGGACTACCGATGCTGTTTGTTTTCTGACCTACCTTGAGTAGTAAAGGTCTGCAACATAGCCTACCTACATGTCCTCACTTCCACAGACTATGACTTTCTTAACTCACAGCCATTGCCTTAGAGAGATCCCTCTGCACTTCTCACTAAGACCAGTGAATCATCCAGCTTGTGTTTATTCCCTGGTTTCCTAGACGTCCAGTCCCTGGGCCACAGAACATCAAAATGTCTTTCTAAAATGTAGATCTAATCATATTATCTCCTTTCTTCCAACACTTTGGAGATCCATGTACTTCATTTGGAAAAAAAAAAAATCTGTCTCCCCAGTATTGTGTCCAATCCTCCACCAAGAGTTCTCTCTGATGAATTTTTCACCCTGTGTGTTTTGTTTCTCCTTCCCTAAAGCGGAAGCATCACACTGAGGCTTGCAGATAGCTGGAACTTACTAAATGTGTAACACAGATGAAGTAATGCTGACATGTATATTCCAGAGCAGTATTTTAAAGGGAATAATTTTACATAGTAGAGTTCTTATAAAAAAAAGAATATCAGCATTTTTTTGGTACTGGGTATCAAACTCATGATCACGCGCTTGC